CGGGGCGTGGTGGCTCCTGCTCTGTCTATCCCAGCATCTGGCGAAGGCTGAGGCTGGGCGGATCAACCTGACCTGTCAGAGTTCGGAGACAGCTGGATAACATGGAAAACCCTGTCTTAGTCAAAATTTCAAATTAGGCCATGGGTGGTGTGTGTGCCATGCCTGTAATCCCACTTACTCAGTGAGGCCTGAGGCTAGTTGAAGAATTGCTTGGACGGCGGGATGGCAGAGGTTGCGGTAAGCCGAGCGATCCACTTACTATTGTACTCCAGCCTGGGCAACAGAGTTTGAAACTCCGTTCTCAAGAAAACAAAAAAGTCGGCTCATGCCGTGCAATCCCCCAGCACTTTGGGGTCGATGGCCGAGGCAGTGAGGATTTAACCTCTGACGGGTGGTTCGCAGTGCAGTTGAGACCATTCCTGGCCAACATGTGTGCAAACCCCGCTCTCTAGGGCTAAAAATACAAAAATTAGCCATTGGTGCCGGTGGTGTGGGCGCCCTGTAATCTCAGCTACTTGGGAGACGTGAGGTAGGAGAATTCTTGACCCAGATTAGTCAGAGGTCTTGCTAGTGAGCCAAGATTGCGCCACTGCACCCCAGCGCTGCGGCACAGAGCTTGATGACTCCTGTCTCAAAAAAAACAAAAAAAAAGTCTTTCCCCCAGGTCGCTCCATTCCAAGCGAGGATAGGGGTTCTCCTTCACACTATCACCCACTGGTTGCCAAGCATGGAGACCCTTGAAATTCGGTATGGGGGCTTTGCAATGGGAGGAAAAGGAGCTGTTGTGTACTAGGGAAGTCTGCTTTCCCTTCAATGGGCAGGGCTCCCCCAAATGTGGTGGATTTCTGAGATGAACTAAACTGTCGTTGTGAATTTTCATGGCCACCAACACAGGGGTGAAATAAATTTCCCAGTTGGCTTGGTACTGAGAAATTAAAATAGGTAGGGCTCCTATATCTTTAGGACAAGGGCCCCGTTAAGGTGCCTCCAGTGGATATGGTAATTTTGGTCAGACCCAGGGGGGATGACCCAGGGGACTCATGGGAAGTGTGCTGGACAATGATGGATATGAGTAATGGTCAGACCCAGGGGATGACCCAGGACTCAGAAAGCTGGACAATGGAAAGTCTGGGGCACTGTGACAAGGAAATTCTTCCCCCGAATTGCCTTTTCCTATTGAGATAAGATAGTACACAATAAAGCGCCAGGCTCAGAAGTGCTGCTGCCAATCCCAGCCAGAGCAGCCAGCGCTCGGCCCTGAGCTGAAGCACGTCAGTGCCCGGGGCTGTCCGCACCTGTGTGGTCTCCAGAAGGCCAGCTCTGGTGGGGGCAAGTCCTGACTCCCACCACTCACCAGCTGTGGGACTCCAATTCTTGTTCGTGACCAAAAAGAAAGAAAGAAAAAAGTCTACTCCTCTTCTACCTGCTTTACTCTGTGGTGGCTCCAAAAACTAAAAACCATGCCGGGCGCGGTGGCTCACGCCTGTAATCCCAGCACTTTGGGAGGCTGAGGTGGGCGGATCACCTGAGGTGATCAAGACCAGCATGGCCAACATGGTGAAACCCCGTCTCTACTAAAAATACAAAAATTAGCTGGGCATGGTGGCAGGTGCCTGTAATCCCAGCTACTGGGGAGGCTGAGGCAGGAGAATCACTTGAACCCAGGAGGTGGAGGTTGCAGTGAGCTGAGATCGCGCCACTGCACTCCAGCCTGGGCAACAAGAGTAAAACTCCATACACACACACACACACACACACACACACACACAGAAAAAAAACTAAAAGCAAACCATGAAAGGGCTTTCCACTCCCAAATGCTATAAAGGTATCAGGTTATTATTATTGCTTCCTCAGTATGAAGCAGTTAGTTTTGTAGATTCTCCCTCTTTTTTTTCTTTTTTAAGACACAGGGTCTGGCTGTGTTGCCCAGCTGTTCTCAAACTCCTGGCTCAACGATCCTCCCACCTTAGCCGGCCTAGTAGCTGGGACTACAGGCACGTGCCACCTAACCCAGCTAGCATCCCCTGTTTCAGGTCTAGTTCCATATTTCTTTAAAAGTCATCAGGATGTCTTTTAGGTCCTAAGTACATTTTTATTATGAAATTGTATAAGTAAAGTCCTTTGAACTTCTGAGGAGACAGGACTGAGATACCTTAGACGCTCCACTGTCTCCTGAGTGAGCAGAGTGGCAGAGGCTGTTACCCTTTTAATAGCACCTTAACTGGGAAGTAGACCCCTGTAGGCAAGCAGTGACTCACAGACACTGTCACGAATGAGTCAGCGTCCCAGCCGAGCAGGGGCTGGCAGCCTCCTACTTCAAGGGGTGGGAAGGCAAGGCCTAGGCTCAGTGCTGGATATTGGTCTTGTCACATTAGGGGCGGTAGCAAAGAGCCCACAGAGTGGAAAGAAGCTGATGCCTTTGGATTGGTCTTCAAGGGGAGAGGATTGAGCTAATGGGCATGTGATACAGAGAAAGGCTGTAAGTTAGGGTAAGGGGGAGCTTTCATGTGGCCCTGTCTGAGCTGCAGTGGTTGCAGGAGTAATTATTCCCTGTTACTGGAGTAATTCCAACACAGCCTCACCCCACCTATAAAGATGTTTTGGGCTGGGCATGGTGGCTCACACCTGTAATCCCAGCACTTTGGGAGGCCAAAGTGGGTGGATCATTTCGGGCCAGGAGTTTGAGACCAGCTTGGCCAAGATGATGAAACCCCATCTCTACTAAAAATACAAAATTAGCTGGGTATCATGGCGCACACCTGTAATCCCAACTACTTGGGAGGCTGAGGCAGGAGAATCGATTGAACCCAGGAGGCGGAGGCTGCAGTGAGCCAAGATGACACCACTGCACCCTACCATGGGAGACAGAGCAAAACTCCATCTCAAAAAAAAAAAAGAAAAAAGAAAAAAAAAAGATGGTTTGGGGAAGCTGTTACCATTGACCAGAGAGTTGGATCAGATGGCATATCAGGGATTTTTCAATGTTAAAAATCTGAGCTATGGGGCCAGTGTGGTGGCTCACGCCTGTAATCCCAGCACTTTGGGAGGCTGAGGCAGGCAGATCATGAGGTCAGGAGATCGAGACCATCCTAGCTACCACGGTAAAACCCTGTCTCTACCAAAAATACATTTAAAAAATTAGCTTGCTGTGGTGGTGGGTGCCTGTAATCCCAGCTACTTGGGAGGCTGAGGCAGGAGAATGGCGTGAACCTGGGAGGCAGAGCTTGCAGTGAGCCAAGATCACACCACTGCACTCCAGCCTGGGTGACAGAGCAAGACTCTGTCTCAAAAAAAA